ATATGAAATCAGAGATGAGAATCCCATAAAATGATGATGGCGGAGCAGTCATACAAACTAGAGACCGATAAGAAACCATAATTTTACTGGAAGGAATAATATCTAATGGTTCAATTACTTTTGCAATAATATTTGCATCAATTCTTTTAAAATCTATATACTCTACGATAGGTTTTATAATATCAGCAACCGATATATTAATTTCTTTATCTATTGAGTCATCATTGTGTAGTGTTTCAGGTGCTTTTTTGACTTGAATCCAAGGTGGTAACCTTTCCTCCAGAGTAGAAAATGCTTCTTGGAATAGATTTTTGCAGCTGTCAAAACTGTAAAATGAAAAACGGAATATTCACTAGATACAAATAATTTTCTTTCATTCCTTTTCAATAACATATATTGTAAATCTTGAAGAGATAATCTATCCAACTTAATAGAATCTAAAGGGATTTTGGCAACTATGTCCACTAAATATCTAATAGTTTCATTATCGGCATTAGGTGACATTAATTGAATCACCTTAGATAATAACTCGGGTGATTTATTTTCAATCCCCTCCGTCGTGCACATTCTTTTATAAAACTTTGAAACGAGGTTTTGAAGGTTTTCTAATTGAAAGAAGTCAGTAGCATATAAAACTTCAGACGCATTATCAGCCGTAATATCTTCGTCAAGAATTACCCTCGTGTATAGATACTCAAGAATAATCTTCATGTGTGAAGCTTCAATTTTTGGAAAAGATATTTGCGTATCAGGAGTTTTGGAAACTCTTGTAAAAAGCATTCTAAAAAAAACTTCGGAACGAGCGGCAAGGATCGCATGAATACCATAAACAATGGTTCCATCCTTACATTTAATTTCCAAATCACTATATTGAGGATTATTACTAAAGGTTTTAAGTCATCGGTGAGAGAGTTTCCACGTACCATTATTGTCTTGCAGAATGAAAACCAATTAACGTTAGGAATTTATACTATCTTGACTATTATACCATAAATGATATAGTTAAATAATTACATAGCTACAGTATCTTTTTTTGGAGTTTAATGGACCTTTTCTTTGAGGATGATGCTAGTGGCTATTAATATTTTTATTCAACAAATAGGTGAAAGTTTTTAAGTCAATAATTAAAAAAAAATTTTTTTTTCAGTTACTAATATTTGAATAAAACGAAATAAAGAAAACAAATATTTGAACCTTGCTTTTTTACAGCTTGAAAATATGTCAAAAAATAGAAAGAGAAAAATAATAACAAAATAATAATAAATAAGTTAAAAAAGTTTTAGCATACTTAGAAATATCAAAATAAATAATACAGTAAGTATTTTTTATATTATTTTTTAATAAGTAATTATTTACTTTTTATTTTAAAATTAAAATTTTAAATTAGATTATATCATATAATATACTATATAAATATATTAAAAACCTTGATCTTTTATCTTAATTTATATTATAATTGTATTAAATTTGTTAAATAAAAAATATCAAAATATAATATTTTAGTTTTATAAAATAATTTTTAGTAAAATAGTTATATTTATTATATAATATTTTAGTTTATAAAATAATTTTTAGTAAAATTCTTATGTTTATATATAATATTATTTTTTAAAATTTTAGTTATAAAAATAATTTAGATAACTATTTATATATAATTAATAAACTATATATTAATAAAAAAACACTTTTTACTTCTA